TCTGCGATGACCTGGAGAATCAGCTAAGTTCTTTCCCACAATTGTTTCAGTCCCCTGACGAAATTGAATCAGGGGTTAAATTCATTACAGATGCGATCACGGGGGCATTCCACCGACAAGGAAAAATGGTCAGGACGAACGAACACCGCCATAAAGCGTGGTGGGACGAAGCAAAATTAGGACCACTCATCAAAGAGAGGAATAGAGCTCGTAGGTGGATGATACTAAGTGGAAGTCAGGAAGCTAAAAACTGCTATTGGACGTGGAACGACTACGTTAGGAAAATCATCAACGATTTGAAGCATAATCATTGGAGAACTTTCTTAGCAAAGGCGAACGGAAGTCTAGCGTTCAAAGCCTTCAAATACACACAATCTCAAACGATGAACTCAATAGCACCCCTATACCGACAAGACAAGACCCTCGCTACGGATAAGGATGAACAAGCTGAGTTATTGTTCAGAGGCACGTCTATAGTTCAAAATACATGTGACGAATCCGATATTTTAAACCCACAGGTCCGAGAAAACGAATACGAACACCCCCCGGTGACAGAATACGAAATAGAAGAAATACTCAGGAAAATCCCAGCAAAACGGGCAACAGGAGGAGATGGAATACCGAATGAGATTCTTAAATTAGCTAAGTCAACCTTAACACCAAACATAGCCACTCTCTTCAATGCATGCTTAAAAATGGGACACTTTCCTAGGACATGGCGAACGGCCACAACAGCAATCCTCAGGAAGAATGACAAGGACGACTATTCGGAGGCGGGAGCGTATAGACCTATAGCACTCTTAAGTTGCTTGGGCAAGGTCCTGGAAACGATCATAACCAAACGAGTATCACACTGGGCGGAAACCAACCATATCCTCGCACAAGGCCACATGGGTGGAAGACGACAACATAGCACAGACGACGCTTTCGTCATACTGACATCATGGATCCATCAGAAATGGAGGGAGGGTAAAATTGTATCAGGATTATTCCTGGATGTAAAATCAGCTTACCCTTCTGTCAATAGGAACTGTTTACTACACACGCTCAAACTGAAAAATTGTCCAGGATACATAGTACAACAAATAGAGTCTTTTCTCACCAACAGGACGACCAGTGTCAACCCTGAGCACATGTACATGTACTCAAAGGGATGACTAAAAGATACAATAAGCCTATAAAATCATAATTACATATATATATATATTAAAAACAATATGTAATATATATGTAATAACTTAATAAACATAATAACACCTCATAACTCAGTGTCAAGAGTTAATATATGTTTAATTACATATATGAACACACTAAATACAACATGTAACATATATATAAAAACCCATAAGACATAATAACATCTCACAACTCAGTGTCAAGAGTTGAATATGCTTATATTAAATAAAATACATAATAAGATTAGAACCTTAACAACCATAACCAATAACAATTGGAAATCAACATGGAAACCAAAATGATGATATAAGCAAATATAACAAAAAGTTAGGTTAAGAATGAAGGATATATAAACCCTCCCTCTCAACCTCAGAGAAAGAACCCCCAGAGAATAATTATTACAAAATACTTTTAAGAACTAACAAAAGTTCTATTGAAGTAATAATCAATAGTCTTATAAGGATAAGACTAGTGATACACTTCAACTACTTTCATAGTTCCCTGATTATTAGTAAGTAATATTAAATATCTCCTTCTGGATCCCCTACTTTCCCTGTGTAGGATAATCTTCAGGTTAGTGACCTATAACAACTCTAGGTTAGTGACCTAATTAAGCACTTCAGGCTGGTGACCTACTGAACAACCATAAGTTGGTGACTTTAAGAATAACCAGATTAGTGATCTTTACCTCACTCTTTAATCTGTAACTACAGAAGATTAAAGGAAGGCCTTGGATCCCCCTTCAATCATAAATAGTATTAAAATAAACCTCTTCTTATTAAAAGAGTCAATTGACTGTAGTCTGTCAGGATTTGTCCCAACAGACTACTAGCCTTTCACTTCCCTTTTATTTCCTCTCTTTATTTCATATTGTACATACTACATATATGAAATAAAGAATCAAATAAAATTTATCATACAAATACCACATTACCTATTTTAGTGAGCACTGAGCACTCTAAAAAGAGTACCCTACTCTCACAACCAGCTTAAGATTACAAGATTTCCTATCCGAAGAATTCAGCATTGAAGATGGATTGCCTCAGGGATCACCTCTTTCGGTGATACTCTATATTTTATACAACTCATCCCTACTGATCAACGTCGACATTTCTTTACAGGCAGATAGGATTTCCCTAGCGTTCATAGACGATGTAACACACCTAGTGGCCAACAAAGATATCGACCTCAACATCCTCGACCTAGAAGAAGAAGGCGACAGGTCTCTCGAATGGGGAAGACGACATGGGGCAATCTTTGATCAAAAGAAAGCACAGGTCATGCATTTCACACATCGAAAACACAAAAACCCGCACTTATTGTTTGGAAACCAATTACTGACCCCCCTGACGTCCGAACTCAGATGGTTAGGAATGTGGTTAGATCCAAAACTAAACTTTGGAGCACACATACGACAAATGAACCAACGAGGAAAAACAACAATAGCTCAACTTAATAGGATAAGCCGATGTTACCACGGCTTGAGCCCGAAAGAGACAAAGAACCTGGTCGCAGCTATACTGAAACCAAGGATACTGCTCGGTAGTGTTGTCTGGTTCAACACCCGAACAGAAGGTAAAGTTTCAAAGATCTTCAATTTACTCCAAAATGCAGCTAATAGATTGATCTTAGGAGCATTCAAAAGCTCACCGACAGAACTGATGTACCATGACACTAATGCAATCACCTTTAAAGATTTAGCTATATGATATAACCACAATTACGTCTACAAACGACTTACGGCATCACCAAACCATCCATCAAGAAAAATCTTACACCAAGAACTATCACACTTACCAGCTACGCATTTAAGTCCTATTCATCGAATCATAAGAAGAGCTGACATTATTTTACCCACCACGAACATATTAGAAACGATATACCCTTATCCAGAACCACCGTGGACAGTACCAAGGTGGGAGGTAGAGAACGTGGGATGCAAAAGGGAAGACGTCAAGGATCGCATACCAGCACAACTTGAAGAAGAAAAAAATCGTGGAGCATGCATAATGTTCACCGATGGATCGTTCATACCGGATGTAGGAGGAGGTGCAGCAATTACAATGGAAGGAAGAACGGCGGGACACGCCTATGGACCGTTAGAAGGAATTTCGAATTATGAAATGGAAACTATGGCTTTGATGATTGCATTAGTTCAATTCAGACAAATAACTGACGCAGCTCCCAATAGGTTTACATCGTTGGCAATCTTCAGTGATAGCCAAGCGGCATTGGACCTACTCGCTAAACCACTACAACCTAAATCGCTACAGTATCTAACTCGATTTTTACTCAGATCCCACAAAACCATATCACCACACCTTCAAATCCGATTATACTGGACACCGGGCCATGAAGGCATAGAATTAAACGAACAAGCCGATGAAACAGCAAGAAGAGCAGCAGAAGGGGATTCCGTACCCATGATGCTACCTATGAGCCTAGGAGGACTTTTACGACATACCAAGAATTTACTACACAAAAGGAGAGTGGATCCCATTAAACCTTACAAAACTAAACCAAAAAAGATAGCTGATGCACTGAATACCTTAGAAAAAGGAGACGCAGCAGCAATCTTTCAACTTAGGTGTGGCCACTGCCCACTGAAGAAGTTCCTACACCAAATAGGAGTCGAAAAAGATAATAAATGTGACGGATGCTTCGCAACGGAGACGCCGGCTCATTTTCTCATCTATTGCAGAAAATACTCCAAACAAAGACAAGAATTCAGAAAGCAATTGAAAAAAGAAAATATAAAAGTCAACACCAACTCAGCTACAATACTCTTAGACACGCCCAAGATTTACCCATATCTGGCACAATTTATCCAAGCAACGGGTCGATTCTTACACCTGAAAACATATATAGAAAACTAGAACACAATAGATTACAATTTATGCCCATTTTCCTTTTTTCTTTAGTCTGTTTCTTCCTTATGTTCTTACTTTTTCTCCTGTTTAAAATTGGTTGCGCTCTTTTTTCCACATTATACCCATTATAAAGGCTTGGTAGTCCGATATAGTAGGAAACCCACAAGAAGGTGTAAATGTCACAATTTTCACATTACATGTAACTAGTTAGTCAGTGCGATATGTGAAATCAAAAGCACTTAAAATTCAAAAAAAAAAAAAAAAGCCCAACAGCACACAATTTTCACAATTTTTTTTTACTTTTGATTCAATCCAAAAAATGTTGGGATGGGCAAGGATGGGCAAGACAAATTTGTCTTAAAATTGTGTGATTTTCACCAATCAGATGTGTTTTCTGCTCAATTTGATTTTGCAAACCACCGTCCCACTCCTTCCCAAACCCACTCCAAAGCAGAGCTGGCCTACCTTTCACAGGCCTCAGCTTGGCATTTGCGTTGATCTTCCAGGCTCTTCCAGACTCTTGATAGGAATTTCAACAAAACTTTACAAAATTTTGCTTCGCCCATACTCTATTGTCCCCGAAAGAATTTTAGTATCTTTGGCATGGATTATTCATCAAATATGACTGTAGAAAACACAAGACGTGATGATAGAATGTATCAAAAAGTCATAGAAAAAAGAGCAGACGTGAAGTCACGGAGCAAGTTGAACATGTACCATACGATTGGGAAAATCGAAGACTACTATTCTCTTGAGCAACCTGAGCAAACTTCAGTTTTTCAACGCGCCACTGTATCTCTGATAAGAAGAGAACCTGGATGACTATATCATATGCACTGTCAAGGAGGCATTCACAACAAGACCTTGATACTTCGCTCGCATAGTGCTGTAAGATGAACCTACCCCTCAAGGTCATGATAGGTGATTTAACATGCCGTGCGAAAGATCAAAAATTGGAAGAACCGGGGATTGAACCCGGGACCTCTTCAAGATGCGAAGAAACATGAATGCAAATGAAGCGTGATAGCCACTACACTATTCTCCCAATTAAAAAGCCACCATGACGCCAAGTATTGATAACATCCTGGTGGATATCACGAAAAGGTCGATGAAATGAGCGTTTCGTCTTAGTAAAGTTAGTTTCTGGAGTAATAATATTTTCAGATGTTGCATACTTTGTGAAACTTTCGATAGAATTGCAAAGATGGTTGGTACCCGGATAAGAAGAAGTGATGATTGATAAGTTGAAAAAGAGTTGAGTTTTGAATTTGGTTATAAAATACAGTAAAATGTATTTTTGAGATGAAAGATAATGCAGTTTCTTAAGTTTTGGATTGATCGAGGATTGAATTTACCAAAGCAAAAGTCTGCTGAAGTCATCAAGTCATCAAGGAATCTCAAACAAAGTACCACCACGACCAGTGCTACCATAGTATGAGCTCATCATCAACATCATCAACATCAAAATCATCTCATCATACTTTACTTTCAATACAAGATCAATCTCATCATCACCATCATCATCATCATCATCAGAACTATCATCATGAACTTAATCTTGATCGAAAAGATAATCGGACCGATTTCAAATCTCATCCTTATAAACCTATCAGAGATTGGTTAAGAAGAGCACGTAGGAGATACTCTACGTTCGGGTTACCTGCTCTCATCACAGCTTTGGCTACTAGTTTGGCTTTTACAATTTGGTGGATTCGAAAACCATCAGCTGTTTGGACTGCTTATGGTACATAAGTGTTACTTAATTATCATGAATTCAAGAAAATAAACTGATCAATTCTTTCATTTTTTTATAGATCATGAATCATCTAATTCAATCAAATCAATAACCACTGCATCATCATCATCATCATCATCATCATCAAGGCTTAAGCCACTCTTTACTCTCCTCATTGCACCTCATCCGGGTCGACCTACCCAAATCAAACTAGATACAATACTAAACTCATCACGACAACAAACTGCCCATCTTCAACTTCATTCTCTTACACTGATTTGTACAACTCCATCCTCATGTCCACCTACAATACCACCACAAGTTCGAAGGCTCACCAATCTCAACTCATTCTATCCAGATCCAGATTCAAAAGCAGTCCTCTTAATCGAATCAGAAGACGGATTATCAGGACTCAATCCCAATTGGATCTCAAATGCTCTTGATTTATTATTCCTTGACCCTCAACAACCAAGAGCAGATCAGATCATCAGTGCAAGTGGATTGATCCGATCTCGTCATCATCATCTACCTACTCGATTGGAGTGTACAGTGGGGGATGCTCAAACTATCACTCAAGTCGAATTACCATTGACACCGATCCTCATCAAATCTCAACCTTGGTCAAGGCTCACTGATTATTCCGAAGACGATTGGTTAGCTAGATCTGGCTTACCTTCCCTAAGACTCAGTCTTGATCTCTTTGAGCGTCAATTGCCAAGCTTGGTGATGCCTATGATTGATGAATCAGCCGTTTGGATGTCATGTGAGAGAGGCTTAGGAGAATTGAGAGTTTCAGCTATTGGACCTGGTTTAGAGGCTCAATTAGTTCAACATCTCGATGAGACATTATATTTTGAAGATGATCGGAAACAGTCCGATCGAAGAGGTGGAGGCAGATTGTGCGTGATTCTAGAAGAGCTCAATCAATTGGAAGAAGGCTTAGGATGGGACTCGATCATTTGCAATTTCTTAGAAAGAGGCGTTAGTCTGGATGTTCTAGTAATGGTGGATAGGTTAGATGAAAGAGCAGAGGTAAAGCAACGAATGAAATTCTTGAAGTGCGTTATAGATATTGAGATCATGACTAGGACGACTAGTAAGACTAGAATAGAATCTGAATCAAGATGGCATCAATTCTTTGTCTCAAGAAATTATTCAGTCTTACTCTTCCCCAAGAACTCGATGGATCCTATTGCCAAATATGTACTTAAACAACGGCTTGGAACAGATTTTGGTCAGTATAAGGAAGAACAAGATTATCAAACTGAGAGATTGGTTGCCATTGGTTTGCCGAGTCAGTCAGTCAAAGGAGCGGATTGGATCACTGGTCTTGACTTACATGCTCTACGAAGTTCAGTGTTTTTCAAAATCTAAACTCTCTTTCATCATCATATATTTACTCTTATTAAATAAAAAAAATTCTTCTGCTCTATTCACTCTCAAATGAATGGCTTGACGACCCTTGATTTTTGGAAATCCGACTATATGCGTATCTATCCGCACACCTTCACTGATATCGTTATATTGACACCACAATTGAAAATCGAATGGGTTCGAATGGGACACAGGCAAGTTCCTCAGGTTTCATTCACACAGAGATCAAAACAAGACATGCACATGATCAATGAGATGAGTAGTGATGCAAAAACAAGAATAATCTCAGAGTGCCCTACAGCTCACATGATTGTTTCTCCTCGTATCCGCCATTTGAATCTGATGGATTTTTTTATCTCTATCCATCTTTCCATTCATGATCCGCCATGAAATATGAATCAAAATTCAGATTGGTATAAGCCAAAGATCGATATTTCAGTCATCACCAACGATCGACCCAATTCTTTATCAAGATTGATGGCTTCATTAAGTAATGCGGACTATTATGGAGACGAAGTCAACCTCATTTTGAATTTAGAACAAACATCAGACTTGCAAACTCGGAAGCTTTGTACAAATTATCAATGGAATCAAGGACCAAAGATCATTAGACAAAGGATCATACATGCAGGACTTCTACCAGCAGTAATCGAATCTTGGTATCCTTCTTCGCCGCATGATTCATATGGGGTTTTGCTTGAAGATGATGTAGAGGTTTCAAGTCAATTCTATGGTTGGCTTAAATTCAGTTTACTTACTTATCGGTATTCATTGAAGAATAATGAAAGTCGATCATCTCTCTATGGCATTTCGCTTTATCAACCCCAACATATTGAACTTAAACCAGAAGGTAGAAGACCATTTAATGCGACCGAATTACATATAAATTTAGGTCATGATCCCATCACATCACCTTATTTATCACCTATTCCATGTTCTTGGGGAGCATTATTCTTTCCAGAATCTTGGATTGGATTTCAACATTTCTTAAGTTTAAGATTATCAGACTCATTAAAACCTAAATTAAGATTAGAAGGTTCAGCCATCTTAAGTCCGATCAGATCTACAAGATGGCCGAAAAGTTGGAAGAAATATTTAATTGAATGGGTCTATTTAAGAGGAGAAGTAATGTTATATCCGAATTTTAGAAATGTAGAAGGAGAAAGTGAAAGTTTGAGTACTAATCATCTAGAACAAGGTACTCATATTCATGATCAAGTGGAAGAAGAAGTGAAGAAAACCTTTGAAGTGAAACTGATGAAATCCAATCGATCTTTATTAAATGGGATCGGGATTGAAAATCGAAGTTTACCTAACTTATCAAATTTGATGTGTGTAGATCTTTGGGGTGAGATTACTAATTTGATTGAACTCTTACAACGTGGTTGGATTGGTGCCAATACTTTAGGTCTATGTGATGATGATGATGAGAATGAGAATGATCAATTGATTGGATTGAATAAATTGATTTGTAGATCATCATAAAAGAAAATTCAAGGAAGTTTTTTTTTCTTTTGTTTTGATTTTTTGTTCGGTTTCGAACATTTTTTTAATTAATTGATTGGTTGGGTTTTTTTTCGTTTGTGGGACTATGTACAGTTTTTCTTTTCCTTTTTTATGACTGTATCTTTGACACCATTAATATATGTATGTAAGAAGAAAGTATTTTTTGCTCATGGTTTTGTATGGTTTACACTTGGTGATTATCTTTTTGCGGTTTTGTACAGAGAAATTTGTTTTTAGAATTAGTTAATAATGAAAGGAAGGAAGGAGTGAAGTTTTTTTTAGAATTGATCTTTGATTTGTCTTTGAGTGAGATCTATGGATTTTTCTCATGGCCGATCATTTGTTAAGCACTCAATACGGTGGGGCATACTGATAGGATTGATGAATGATAATAAGGAAAATTTGATGGTAAAAAAGATGAATGATGAAGTAAAAAAGTTGTTTTTGCCATTAATGCAAATTGATTGATATCTGATCCAAATATCAAAATCTTCAAGTACAATCATATCACCACGCGTTGGACGTCAGGGACTCCCGGGCTGAGTCCCATCATCAATCATCACGACGAATTGGCAGGTACAACTCGGATCATTCAATAGCATGGGGCAAAAAGAAGGGCCTAACCGGGAGTTGAACCCGGGACCTCGCCCAATCACTTGGTACACAAGGGAGTTTCCTCCGAAGGGCGAATCATACTACTAGACCATCAGGCCGATGACGCGAAAGCGTTTTTTGGCATTAGGACTCCTTACAACTAGGCTCAGCGGTACAATAGCTGTGAGGGTCAGACTCTACGTGTTTCTGTTGTGAAGCAAAGATACCCGGGAATATGCATCGACATTTGTAAGTATACAATAAGGTATTTTTGTAGTCGACTGCGCGGTCGAACATTTTAAGATTTTCGATTATCTCACCTTGCTCCAGTGATGACCGGGGTCCGTCAGTCCGTCCGTCTGTGTCAGTTTTTGTCGGGAATTCAGATATGAGGATCCGTCCCAACTGACCACAATAGTGACACGCGGTACTTTGAGCCCATCCGTTTGTGGCAAATTGCAAGACTGAAAGACAGCAACAATTCAACTTACAATATTTATCAATCGACCACTTCTTCAAGAACCAAATCAACACTTTCGATAATGAACCATCAAACTACTACAATCTCACTTCCTACTACTCCATTCTCACAGTTTCAATCTAGTCTTAACTCTAGTTTAGAATCATATCTCATCACTATCGCTAATCAACGTGTCAATCAAAACTCGCCTACTTCATTTGATCCACTTGCTGTGATCGAACTCTCTTCTGCTCTCAATGCGCTTTGGTCTCAACTTCCTAGCCTTCCTTCTACTGCCTTGGAGATTCAGCGTTCAATAGTCTCATCAGTTCTCACTTCCATCGTTAGCCAAACCGCCTATCCACCTCAACTTTCATTCTCATCACCGGTTCATCATCAATTGCTTCACGATGCTCTCGACATCTCTTTAGTTTTGGTTGAACAGGACAGAGCACCGGCTGATCTCACATTGAGTTGTATCGAAGATATTCCTCGAAACAGCCACAGTGGAAGAAGCTGAGCGGATATTCTGTTACCTCGAATCTCGTGTAGATCGCTTAACCGTCGTCAGTATCTCGTCCACATCCTTGGTGAATGATCCGAACCACGAGTTGCTCACTTCATTCGATTTTCTTTGGTCTTTTGTTTTCTAAAATTCACTCAGGGAATGCTTCCGGATCGTGGCAAAGGTTTAATTTTCTTAAGAATGCAAAATAATCTATTAAGAAGACTATCGAAATCACTTCATACTGTCTTCTGCGGAAGAATATTAAGTTTTCTTTCCTCCGTCTTTCCGATTGCTGAAAAGAGCGGTGTCAACCTGAGGGGCGCTTTCAACACGGGAAATGTTACACATTTTGATCAAGATATCGAAAAGAAAGGTATCGAATCAGTCAATTTACAAGGGAGTGAGACTATCAACTCGGACACAGCGGTAGAAACCAATCTTCTTAAAGCCAACGAAACAACTGCCGATGTGATGATCCTCAAGAAGGCACCCCTAGCTTCTCAAGACAAACCCATCACTTCGGATGAAACCGTCTCTACAGAGACGAAGATTCAGACCGACCCTACATTGGACGGAGAAAATGTTGAAAAGTCATTTGAGATGAAAGAAGAATCACCAGAAGAATTAGCGGCGCGATCTCGGGCCAAAGCAGATGAACAGGAAGCCCGAGCAAAGGCAAAAGCAGCTTCAAAAGCCGGCAAGTTCTTCACTATGGCCACACCTACCTTCTTAAATCATTCTCAACCGGTAATAATACGTCTCTACCATTTCTCGGCTTTTGCGTTTAGCTTCCGACAAGCGAGAATTTTATCTACGTTTTTGGGCACTTCAATCTCTGCTCTCCAATCCGCCTGAACTTTTCAAGGGATGGCAACCTGATCCCAACATAACCACAGCAAATGTTACCGCGCAGTCTAATCCTCTTACATATCCACCCTCCCGTCCTACATCACTCCTCACCGCCTCAACAAGTCTCCAGCGTGTCTCACCTGTGCGTGAGGTAGAGGCGGCGCCATCAACGGCCAACTTGAAACGTCTGAAAGAAGGCATCAACAAAACGCTAGATGTCTTCGGTCGGATGACTAAAAAAGAAAAGGAATTAGGCACTCATTCGAAGAAACCCAAGATTGATGAGCGGAATTTGGCTGAAGTGAAGGAGCATTATTTCTTCCCAAAGTTTCTCACAAAAAGCAATTTGTTGGACTTAGAGGTCAGCTTTTATTTCCACGCTTCAACTTTTCTTTCAGTCATGCATCCTCATCAATTGGCTTGGCCGAGATGGCTCCATGCGAGTATGGCTCTATTTGGGCAAGTATCATGCCAAGTCAAGCTTTCGGGATAGATTGAATGTTGACAATCATCATTATTTGTTGTTTTGGTGATGTTGAAATACCATGTGATCGTACCACCCTGTGTGTCTACACACTACATCTTGATGTGTTTTGCGGTATTAATCCACATCTTAACATATGCCAGGTTGCAGACTCATACTTTCGTAGACAAGTTTTAACGCAATTTTTAATTATCCTCAAATACATTCGAGGCTTCTCTCTGGAGGAACGGAACAAGCGCGCTGCTTTACCCAAACCCAATAGGGTGAGCGAGGTTCCGTACGTATATCAGGCTAGGGATGTAAGTGATTTCCTTGATTTCTTTACATTTCCTACGACTGATATCTTGACGGTTCATAGGATGGATGGGTCCGCAAACTAAATGGCGAAGTATGGAAAACGCTTTATGCCACTCCGCCGAATGGCGAAGTGTTTGCACTGACTATCAAGCAGATTTTGACACGAGAACAGAACTGGGTTAGTCTGGTTGTTGTGATGTTTGCCGCTCAGTCAACTGCTAAACTGGAGCGACTTCTTGACAGATTATGTGGAAAGCTGGCTCATGTCCAAGTTTTGAGAGGCCAAGTGTAGGTGATGAGTTGATCAAGGCAGCCGAAGCCAATTTTAAACGGATCATCGCGCCTCCCATGCGATTTCCACATCCAGTTGGGACTCCAGCACTGAGTAAGCTTTGGAGCAACAAGGTGACCCCTGATAGTATCGAGAGCATGGATTTTTCAGAAGGGTAAGATCCATCATCTCCACATGCATCTGTTATCCAGCTCCTCATATTGGTCATTTAACATCCACAAAATCTCTCACATGTGCAGGGTTCCGGATTTGAATGCCTTACACGCAAAGATCATGGCACAGGAAAAGCAATTGTCGATTCTCAAAGAAAGTCTGTTAACTCAAGGGAAATCTGAAGCAGACTTATCAAACGATCCGCAGGTGCAAGCTATCGAAGAGGTCAGTAGTGCTCATCTTACTTTGCCTGCGATTAGCTCAACTAAACTGATATGATTTCTATGCATTTGACAATTAGCGAAAATCTTCACTGTCCTGGAGAGCTTTGAGAGTTGCTCAGAGTACTCATCTACAATTGTTTGGCAAGATTGGTCTACCCGGAAGTGTAAACAAGTTGATGACTCTGATCGAGGACGCCAAGACGCGCTCGAATGGAGTTAACTCAATTCGACAAATAGCGGCATCGAACCATACGGTTTCCACTCCTACTGGGACTGGTGTCACTGATGCAACACAAATGACACCAGGAACGTCTAGCATCGAAGCAGAGTCTGACTTACTTGCGCAAACAAAGGACGGAGATGAGAATTCGGTACAGCTTGTGGCAAGCTCTGATAATCACGACGGACAACCTTTGCTGGATCAATTTGTTCAACCAGATATCGTGATGCTCGATGGTGAGAGTATTGAGGACACGAATCCAACGACTAGCAAATCTGTACACGCTTCCGAGACCGAAGAGGAGGAGCAAGCTCCTCTTGTTCCTCTCAATCCCGATCCGGCTCCACCCACTTCCGTATCGCCACCAATCGATATACAACCTGAAAAGCAGCAACAACAACGACAACAACAACAACAGCAACAACAGCAGCAACAACAGCAGCAACAACAACAACAGCCGCCTCCTCCTCCCCCACCGCCATCACAAGTCACTGTGCCCCACCACCCTCATGTGCCTTCTGGTCCAAGTCGGTTCAACAATCATCATCATCATCTCTCTCGCCATCAATCACCTGCCACCTCTCACCCTGGCCGAATCCATATGCCATCCCATCGAAATATGCAAGCTAGTCCAATCACAGATTCAATTACAGACATAGATCAAGTGATCCGAAGAGCCGAAGCTAGAGCTGCACCTGATCTAGTTCGTTCACATTCGTATTCTACTGATCATCGATCACCCTCAACAGGAGAATTCAGACCAACTTCACATGTCATACCTACTCATTCTAATAATAATCAAATGAATGGACATCGACTTTCAGGATCAGGAATTGGTCAAGTAAAAAGATTGGCTGAAGATGATGGAACGATCAACGGAATTAAGAAATCTAAAACTTGAAGGAAAATCATTGTCTTAGTTGTGGTTCTTTGGTCAAGACAAAATAGAAATTGAGTGTGATCTATTTGATTTTCCAAAAACAAGAGTTGAAAGTGATCTGATCAGATGAACAAATGGAATGACGTTAAAAGTTTTATATAATTTTAAACGAGGGAAAACTTGAATATTTGTAGGAGGTTTAAGATTTTTTTACAGCCTGATTTTGATTTTGTGTTTGTTTTTTCTTTTGAAAAAAGTTGTGAAACGTTTGTGAGGTGTGTATATGTGTTTTTTTTCTCGAGTTGAAGTATTTTTTGGAATTTCAAAAAGATGACCTTGTCTTGAAATAAATTTTAGAAAATGATCATTTGGAGTGTATAGAGTACTTGTATCATTTGTCAATGTGTTCATCATTATTTGATAATTAGTGAGTATCTTGGAAAGGTAAGGAATGAGGAGATATAATTTTCATGTAGGAAGTGACTTTAGAGATGTCTAAGAATCAGATCGGTTCAGTTATTTGTCTGAATCAATTGATGCTTCAAACTTTTCATTGGTCTTATGATGTCTTGAATAAGTCTAGATCTTCGTGTAGTGAACTTATTGAAAGTGAGATCAATAATCAATAAATGATCAGTGCTTTTTGAGCTAAGCTTACATCATCATTCTTTTGATAATATATTCCAGAATATGCAAATGTGATACACAAGGATCATATCACCTGGCCTTTGGTTTGTCAGGTTACTATTCAA